GTTCTCCTGCATATGACAAACTTTTGAAAATGCACTAAATACACCAGAATTTCACTGTTATGATAGTTTTATTCTATTGTTTATGGTTGGAAAAACAACAGCACTAGAGTTGTAGGATGGACCCAATGCAAGTCCAGGCCACTCTGAAGCAGGCTGTGGTCTATGTATAGAAAGATGTTTGTTGCAAAATTTCATTATGAAAAAAAAAAACCTTACTACTTCCTTCCCCAAGTTCACATACCTGGTCAGAAGTAGATCTCAAAATCTCATCTATTTCATGTAGCATACTTAGCCTTTGATCTGAAAGATACCAAGTTTGAGAATAAGAGCTATAACATGGGACATTATCTACATAAACCTGACTGTCAGCCAAAAACGTTTAACAGCGTAGTGCTTTGAAGGCACACAATGTGTCCCGACACGACAAGCGTCAGGAGCGGGAGGGCAGCCCGAGATGCTGACCGCTAGCAGAGATCCCACCTGACTCCCCCCACTGTTGAGCTCAGTAGCCACGTTTCCTGTGGGAAACTTCATCGCCGCTCAATCAGCTCGAAGAAAGCCTGCTCCAAAAATACCGGAGAAACACCAGTTATTTCGCCCGTTCAGCTCACCATCGGATAAAGAAGACGGAATCAATAACTTCCAGACAACGAAGACGCACTTCCCTCACCCATCAGTTCCCACTTCTCTCGCTAAATAAAGCCACAGCTGTAGCTAGGAGAGCCTCCACACACCTTCCCCTCAGCCCGGAGCAGCAACCGCGCCAGTACCGCCACCACCGCCTGAGAAGAAAAGGACTCTGGGCACCCACCGGCCCTAACTGCCCAGGCGCGCCTCAGCAGCCGTTAACCCCGCCTCACGCCGCGCTCACAGACCGCCTGAACGCCGAGCCCCGCTCCCAGCGGCGGCCTCAGCTGCGTCCAGCCGTCTCCTACGGCTGGAGGCGGGATGGCTGTGTGCACGCGCGCGCATCCACGCATGCGCGCTGGAGCGCTGTGGCGGCCACTGACTGAGGACGTAGTGGCTGGTGGTGGGTCGGAGGGAGGTAGGTGGGTGGGTGTCTGCGGGGGTAAGAAGTGCCTTGCTGAACGCATCGGGGGAAGTTGACGTCGGAGAAGGGTGCTCCGAGAGCGGAGACACCTTGAAGCCCTCTGGGAGCTTATGCCTGTGCCTGAAAGCGAAGTCTTAAATACGCTAAAAGCTACTGTCTCTGCTCGGTTTCCGACTTTCCTCCTGTTCTCTTGGAGCAATTAGGAAAAACATTAGGGTAATGACTTCTTGCTTATCCTCTTACTGGCGTGGGTGGGGTCTGGAACGGAAGACGTAAATCCGTTCAGTAGGGAGAGATATGAAGTGGTGGCAGCGGCGAGCTGCCGCAGATTTCTCCTTGCTGCGGGGGTCTGAGCATACCAGCTAGGTGTTCTCGGCATGTGTATCTTGAGGCAATGCAGTATGACTACAAAGTGACTGAGAAAGTACTTGCTGTAAAACTGTTGAGCGTTTGCATGTCTTTACAGCATATTAGCAACTGGTAGAGGTGTAATGTTTAAAGGAGGGTTACCTCTTGTTTTGCTTTTGCGCTATTTCTATGTGTTGCTGGTTTTATTATAATTAAAAAGCATGCTAGTAACCAGCTTAGCTAAATCTGTGCAATGTAATAAACTTAAAAGTTGCACCAAAGGCTACTAATGTGGAAAATTTTGTATTTTCTGTCCTGTAAATTGAGCAACAGATGCTAATGAATGTTTTGCAGTTTCCCATAATATCTGTTTGATTTCTGATTGTTTTAAATTCCATGCTCTTCTGTTCAAGAGTAATAGTGGTTTGCAGCAGCAGGCTAAATCTTCAGTATGTTCATTTAGGTATACTGTGAATTGTCCCTGCAGGAGTTAGTTTTTTTTTTTTTTAACCAAAAAAAGTCATCTATCGTATAGGTACAAATAGGGATGTGCATGTGTGATGCATCTCGTGTCTTGTCTTTGTTTTAGGCACTGCAGTTACAGTAGTGTCTAAAATAGCTTAGCAAGTTATATTATTTCGTTGCCTTTTTCTTTCTTTTTTTTTTTCCTATTAAACTTGCTATGTTGTGACTTTTCTGGAGACAACCTGTCGAATGTTATGCCTAAAGGCAAGCTTCACGTTGCTTATTTCAGGAAGGAATTGCAATAGCTAGTCATGTAATTCTCATGGTTTAAGCCCAGCCAGTAACTCAAAACCACGTAGCCACTTGCACACTCCCCCCGGCTCTTGGAGGGATGGGGAGGAGAATTGAAAGAATGTAGCTCCCACAGGTTGAGATAAGAACACTCCAGTAACTAAGGTATAACACAAACCACTGCTGCTACCACCAATAATAATAATGATAAGGGAAATAACAAGGGAAGAGAATATGACAGCTCACCACCAGCCAACTGATACCCAGCCTGACCCAAGCAGTGATCTAACCCTTCTGGGTAACTGCCCCCAGTTTATATAGTGGGCATGACGTGGTGTGGTCTGGAATACCTCTTTGGCTAGTTTGGGTCAGGTGTCCTGTCTCTGCTTCCTCCTGGCTTCCCCTCCTCCCTGGCAGAACCTGAGACTGAGAAAGTCCTTGGTCAGAGTAAACATTACTGAGCAGTAACTGAAAACATCAGTGTTATCAGTGCTGTTCCCAGGCTGAAAGTCAAAACCACAGTACTTCACCAGCTACTAAGAAGGAGAAAAATGACTGCTACTGCAGAACCCAGGACACTCTGTATTTTAAGGTCTTTCCAGCCTGCTTTTATTAGAAAGCTACTAAAATCTGGTAGTTCTTTCAAATAGGTGTTTCAGGCATTTGCCTTGACCAGTGAAAGCAAATAGTTAAATATATTAGCACAAATTGAAACTGAATGATAGAAGGGAATGTTCACTTCTAAGTGCATGTTAATTTAATAATGTAGTATAAAATGGGTTCATAACACTTCATTGATTTGTTTACATGCACCCATCTTGTCTTAAACTTTATTCTTTTCAGTAAGTAATCCTCCTTATGAAATTCTGTTTTGTTCCTTTTCATGGCAAGTGCACAAGGCACATGTATTCAATTTACAGGAATTCTGTTCATTCAGAAAACATTAGGAAGGGCCTTACCATTTGTGGAGAGTTCATGCTTATGCTGATCCGTGTTTGTAGCTTAAAAACACTAAAAACACAGCTCTTGCCTACATTTTCTGTGGACTAATATTTTCTAAATCATTTTAAGGCTAAGTAGCCCATTGAGTATGTTTCAGCAGCTGTTTTATGTTGTGAAAGGGACTGTTTTTTTAACGTATTGGTCTTTTATTTGGTGGTATACATTGTGATTATTGCAGAAGAGCTGTCACTGTACTTGATTGGAATACCTGACTAATTATCTCTTTTTGTTTTAAACTGTGGTGATTTAGCTTTGCCTGTTTGAGTTAGTATTAATACTGGACTGTGAGCCCTTTTCTGCTGGCTTAAGACTGCTGTTAGGATGCTATGTCTTCCGGTGCTTTGTACAATGACTGCTTTCTCTCAACTTGTGCAGTCAAGCTTCCAGAAACTCACCTGCTACTTGAGTTGGAGCAAACTTTAATGATGGTAAGGTCTTTCATAGTTTCTAGGGCTATTCCAGGTCTCTTGCATAAAGCACATCTAATGCTTGTCCGGCTTATGAAGTTAAAATGCTGATATAAGAATTTAATTAGTTTTCAGTTTATTTAAATGCAGCCTTGTCAAAGTGGTATTCCAATATTTGACTTTCCTTTTTTACTAGACTTCCTAAGGTATCTAATGATTAAATCTATTGTTTTAAATTTTCTCTAATATGTCACACTTCTTTGGTCTCATCATTATCTCCTTGATTGTGAGTGTATCTACTTATGTCTTTGGACTTAGGTCCGTAAAATAGCTAGAAAGGAGATCTGGTGCTTTTCAGGATGACCTACCAGTAAAGAGAAGCTGGCTGGTATGTCTGTAGCAGAGTGTATGAAACAGTTAATGTGCAGTCGTAAGAGCAAGGCTATGGCATATAGAGAAGTGTGCTATGTGTAGTTACATTCTGTCTTGTGCTACATGTTGATAATACTTGCAGAATGTGGTAAGCTGCACTTACTTTTCTGTGAGTCCCAAGGAAGTAGGTAGTGAGGCAGAGATTAAATGATCCAATTTAGTGTTTCCCACTGTGGTTACAACTTAAGTACTGAGCTAGCATCTTTCTGGTCACAGGCTATGTACTTTCTGCTGGGCTATGTACTGCCAGGTCACTTCTTGTATGGCTAGATGTGTAAGGGAACAAATCAAGGATTGCTTTTGTGGATAAAAAAATAACCATCAATATGGAATGAACTCATAATACTAAAGTGGAGTATGGCTTCAGGGGCTTTAAAATTGTTTGGAAACTGGGCTCTACTGGTTCTTTTGCTTATTAAATAGACTAAGGCTATTCCTAAGGTTTGTACATTTCAAAGTGGCAACACCTGTTGGAGTGCAGTATTCTCTGTTCTCGCTCCTCTGCAAACATTCAATGTGTTTAATATGAGCTTGCAGTTTTGCTTGAAATCCTTTAGTTTGGCTGGTTTGCAATGACTGTGAAGGAAAGCTTTAGCTGTTTCATTTCCTTGTATCTCATTCATGAAAGGCCTTTCTCAGTCTGTTTTTCTCATGACACCAAATCATCTAAGGTCCTGTAGTGGAGTCTGTGTTTTCTTGATATTTTTTATGGCTTTGGAAGGTGTTTATTTAGGTACATACTTGAAATACCTTAATCACCTTTGGTAAGAGTCGGGATGATTTGTTACCATGCAAGTGTAAGAACCTATGAAAAGCATTCATGTAACTGCTTATTTAAGTTGCTTTGAAAAGTGAAACTGTTTCAGTTCTTTTAATATCTAAAAACGTGATTTGGTGATTGACTTTGTACAAAAGTGTGCTTTTTTTCCTGGCCAACCAAACAGTGCAGTTGGTGCTGAAATGGAATTGAAAATGATCATTGACAGAACCTTCCTTTCTCATTTATGTAGTGTATGAAGATGGAATTTACAATTAAACACACATGGGATGGTTTACCTGTGAGCCATGAGCCGGCAACCATTTGGCTGAAGTCAAACAATGTGGGACTGCTAATGGAAGTTAGCGCTCCCTTCTTTAATGACCCTCCAGCACCACTTGGAGAGCCGGGGAAACCTTTCAGTAGACTGTGGGACTATGAGGGTAAGCGTAACTGTTCTGCAGTTGTATCTAATTTGGGTAGCAGTAATATTCCTCTGTAGGTCTTTATTTAAGAGTCTGTGATGGTTTTTCTTTTTTTTTTTTTATCTGATCTAATGGCTGTGAGTGTATGACATCTAGTTCAGTTTCCTTGGTCACAGTACTGCTTGTACTGAAATGTTAAGTAAAAACTTACTATGCTGTTGTATCCAGAGCAGTCCAGGAAAGAGTTTAGTTGCGATCACTGCCTTCTCCTTAAGCAGCTCTTTAAGTAACTACAAGCCTCATCCTATATTCAGCTGAAAACTACCCCAAACTGTATAAATAGCAATGCTCTTTTTTTAGTCAATGAAATGATTTTCATCACTAGCACTGCTGACCATATGGTGAGTGGTTGTTTTATAGTACCGCAACAATAGAAATGACTGGGAAAAGAAGCAAATATGTTATGTCACTCAGTGGCTGGGAAGAAATGGAGTCCAATGAGCTGGATTGATTTCAAGAATGATGAGGCTGACTCTCCCTAGTCAAGGAAGAGTGTTTAGTCAAGTGCCTAGTGTAGGCAATCAAAGTTAGTTTCTGAGTTACTGATATAATTTGTGGAATAACAGGGGCTTAACATTTGAATATCAAAATAATTTTGTGGAGTATATGTATATATAAATGCCTTTGCAATTGATAAGTAGAAGTGAAATCCTAAAGATTTCAGATGGGTTCTGCTTTTGCTTTAAGAAGTAGAGAATCTATGTCTATTTTAATTGGTTTTCCACAGTCTTATTTGAGGACTGGGAGAGTGTGAAATAAATAGATAGCAGCTTATAAAATATGATTCAAGACTGTTCCCAAATGGAATGGGGAATATTCTTATAGTAATGCTGTTTTCCTTGTTGCTTCCTGTCAATACTGTCACTTTCACCTGCTTTGAATAATGCAAAAATTTGTTTCTAGCTGTTCTCTACTTCCTAATTATTGAACTATTCTGATTAAAGCCCTACTAAAAGAGTGTTAGCACCTCTCTGATATGATTATACTAAGTAGGCTTATGTAAAAACAAAATAATCATAATTCTAACTGAAGCTTTCTAATAATGTCATTGCTGTTGAGAAACACCATTATAATTCCACTTTGTGTTCCTGAAAGGTGGTTCAACATGGCTTTCAGGTACACCTGGAACAGTAATCACTTGTCTCAGTGCTTTCTTAACTATTTCTGAGGTTTAGCAGTCTTATTTATGAGGTGTGTGGTCTGCTGTGAGTATAACTTTCTCTTTTATTTTTTATTTTTTTTTTTATCCTCAGGCTACCAGCAAACACAAGACTTCTGCACTTAAGTACCCTTCCTGGAGTGCGTGCCATATGATTGATTAGGATCAGTTTATCTTGGTCAGCTTTGTTCACAGCAAGCATACTGGATGAAATAGCTGTGTGGTGATGCTTTTCTTATTTTATGGAGAGCTAACATGAGTTAGTAGGCCATATTTTTCTGCAACATTGAGATGAGTGTTTTGAAAGTTGAAAGTGGTAAAGTAAGTAGATTACTACAGTGCTTTTTAAAGCACTTTATGATGATAAGCATTAGAAATAAAAGCTCTTGAAGTTACAGTTACAGCTCAGCATTTCAAATAGTTAGGAAGCTGTCAGTAGCGTGTACACAGCTAGTCAAGGTCTGGCATGGCATAGGCCAAAAATCATGAAACTAGGATTGTTTTAGGGGGATAATGAAAGTCTCAGGGTATTACAAAATAGTTAATATAAAATACTGCAGTGTGTTTTGGTGTTTTTTCTTTCTTTTTTTTTTTTTTTAGTTGTAGAAGCATTTTTCCTGAATGACAGAACTGAACAATACTTAGAAGTTGAAGTTTGTCTGTGAGTACAGCACTCTGAAAGTTACATATGTTATTTGCATTTTGAGTTCTAGTGCTTGTAAGGTATGTGTATGGGGAAATTATTTATTATATGAGCAAATTGTTCCAACATGGGGAGTGTACGTATTTGTTGCAGAGCACTGCACTAATAATTGTGCAACTGGCATAATTTGAAGAAAATGGTGCTCTGATTTTTTTGACAGCCATGGGCAGCACTTGTTGCTGCTTTCTGGCAGAAGAGCAGTATGGAAAGTAAGTGGTCAAGTACATTCATAATGTACAGAAAACCTAGTTACATTTAGGTACCTGTTGCCCGATTAGAAGATGGAATTACCTCTCTTTATTTTTCCTGTCTTTAACAGGAAGAACTTTCTTTAGAGTTTGAGGTGACCAGAATGAAAACCAAATGGGAGGGTAAAGTTCATCTTCCTTGAATTATTTTCCACCGTGCATTAATAATTTCAATGCATTTGCAATTCATGGCTCAGGAGAAGAAAGAAAATATGAAGCGCTTTATCCGGTACCTCAACGTGAACTACAGGAAGGACAGAAACCAGATTTGTAAGCATAAAATTAGCTTTTCTGTAATATATTTACACTATTTCTGGAATACTTAAAGAAAGCTAATCTGGCTTTCTTTGAGTGCTGCTATTATTTTAATTACACTGCTTAGCCATGGATCCATTGGCACTGTGCTTTCTATAAAGCACTGTGGCAGATAGCTGTAATTAGTGCTTCATTTCTGTATTATCATCCCTTAGATGCATAGAAAATGATGCGTTCAACACTGTGGGCATCTGTTTTATCACCTTTCTCAGTTAAGTCACAGAGAGCTTGTTCTGCTTTTTCCTTTCCTCCACACCTCTCTGATTTAATGTTCGTTTTACCAGGTACACTTCCAGGAGACCACTTTTGCTTCTCCCCTACTGTTCTAAGCAACCTTACCTCTACAGATGGCTCCATATTGGGAAAAATTTGAAAAGGCAGACTAAACTGAAAAATATAATAAAAGGATATCCAGTATCAATAGGAAAACTAGGATATCTTGATTTTTAAATTTTCCTTTAGGCTTACTTATTTTTTTCGACTGTAAGGCTGATATGATTTGATAAAAACTGGTACTTCTGGGCATTTTGTATAAATGAACTAGCTTTAGTGGGTACATCGTAGTTCTTAATGCAAACTTGTTACTCAAAATACATTGGCAGCCAGGTAAGGTAAATTTAGGTAAGTTGCCCTTTTTGTCTTTATTTAAGATAAACTTTGCTTCTGCAACTTTTTATTTTAAAAAATTTAAGCTGTTGCTAATAACTTCCCTTTCTTAGTGTTTGTAAGAAATAAATACTATTTATTTTTATGTGGTAATCTGGCTGTAATATTTCCCTGTTCTTTCTATAGCACCCCTTTCAAAGAAACCCTTGACTTTTCAGACATTGATAGAAGATGCAATTATGTGAAGAGGTTGCTCCTTGCTACTTTCATTGCTCTTAGTTTGTCTTTACTTTTAGAAATCTCTTCCGAATAAGAGAATTCCATTTACCTTTTAAAATGATGAGTTTAGTGTCAGATGTTCCATCTACTGTTTGTCAGTTGATTATTAATTAGCAGTTGGCTTCAGGTCTTCATTCTGTTGTTTCTGTGTGGTAGCTTAAAGGAGAAGTTCTTAGCAAGAACTGATTCATAATGCTTAAAAGAAAATAAAACTTTTAGAGGGAAAAAATGTTCTCTAGCTTCGTTATCCAGTCTTCCCCTTTTTCTGTAAGGGAAAAATATCCCTGTAATACAACTTTTCAAATGGTTAGGAGTTGCAGATTTTTATTCTATTGGAGTGCAGGTAAGTCGTAAAGCAGGATATCACTGTGCGCTTGCTCTGACTGCAGTTCCAGGCAACATGAGCTGAGGGAGTTTAAAAGGTGAGCGCTTTAACTTCACTTTATGCTGTGTAATGCTTGTTTGTAGCTGAGAATTTTGCCCTGTGTTTTTCCAGTATAAGATTTTCAGAAACATGGTAGTGGGTTTTATTTATAAACTTAAGTTTTGGAAAATCAACATGTGGAATGCTGGTTATGTTTCTGTCCAGGAAAACCTGAAAATAGAGATGAGTTAAACCTATTGAGGATATTGTATCTTAAGACGCATACTACAAGAATCACAACTTTTTTTTATTTTGCTTTTCTTTGCAGTCATCGTCTAGAATTTTTTGAAGATTTGAACTTGAAAGGACTAATGGGAGAAGATTGGAAGCAGCCTGAATCAGATATTTGGAAATCTCTCAATAATTAAATGGATCAAGGCGTAAATTTTTATAGCATTAAGGTTGTATGAAGCTGTATGGAAGCAACTTCATTCTGAGCAGAGTCTGTAAATATCAGATTCCTAAGGCATTTCCTGACATCAAAATCATTGATCAGTCTTAAAACCAACTGCAAAGTATCTGAATGTACATACTATGCAACAGCTGTGCTTCGGTTCATCTAGGTGTGGAGTTTTTCGTATGTGGTGAATCTGCTCCTACCAATGAAGGGGAGAAGTGCTAAAAAGAAGTGCTGAAATTACAGCTGTGGTTTTGTGAGAGATCTAGCCTGAGAAGGCCAATATCTGGCTTGGAATCCTTCAGTTTCTTCTAGTTAGTCCATTTCTGCTGTATTTTCTTGTTTGTCATTCTGTTGAATGAGTCTTATGTGCCTGATTTTTTTTTTTTTTTTTTTTTTTTTTTTTATTGCAATCAGGAGAAAGAATACCTCTTCTGGGAACAGAAAAGAATGTTGCTATCATGGCATTTGTGGCCCAGTACTTGCATTGCAAAGTGCTGTGGAGGTATTGCACTACTCTCTCTTACACCTTACTATGCAAATTTTTCCTTGCATGGTATTGAAGAGAAACTTAATCTGTGTTAGTTTACTATCAGACTTCTCTCCTTCAAATTCAATGTGGAATTTCTAATGATATTTACGTATGGACAGTAGATCTACAAAAGATTTCATGTATTCCAGGAAAAGTGTCTGGGACAAATAATGTTTAGTATAACCTTTTGATGTACCTACAAAAGCTCATTTGTTCCAAGACCTTGTCACATCACCTTAAGGATTTAGCTCAGACATAGGAGAATTTTGTATGTGTGCCAACTGATGTTAGAAATACTCTAATTTTAAATGCTTACATTTATTTTTAACAGTCGTGAATACTGTTAGGTGACAACATCTAATTGTAAATTCTCACAATTTACAAGTGATATGTCATTTTTTTGTCTAGTGTAGTATGTGATCCTTGACTGTGGCTGCTAACTTGATCCTATATAAATTAACTTGGGAAGCTTGCCCACTAACTAGATCTTACATCTGAAAAATAGGTGACTTTATAATCTAACTTCTTTGGTTTATTTCAGAATGAGGATTCAGACCAAGACATGGTCCTCAGTCCCCTCCTAGAAAAAGGATTTCCTACATCTTGTTGAAATGTCATCATCAGAGGCTAAAAGGTCATGTTCTCTAGTTTTGTGAGAAGGTTTGTTTTGTGACTCTGGGAGGATACAGCTCAGTTATAACTGAGGGAGTTATAACCCTGAAGATGTGGTGTTGGTTCGCATCCTCTTGTGTTGCAATTTCTTCTGAACAATTTAAAATCCTACAGCTTTCTAGAAGGGACTGATGTTCCTGTAGTCTGACATCCCACTCAAAGCAGGGCTATTGTTGAAGCTAGGTGAGATCACTCGGGGCCTTACTGAGTAACTTGAATAACTCCAAAAAATGGAGCTTCAGGTGCTCTCTGTAGCCTGTTTCAGTACTTACTTACTCATTTCTCATGACGCAATGTCTGCCCATTGCTGTTGGTCCTTTCTGTATGTCTAACAAGAGTGACTTTTTTTTTTTTACGTTGATTTATAAGTGGCTCTAAAAATCTGTGTAGCTTTAGATATCAAAACACCTGTGAAATTCTGCACAAGACTGCACTCTCCAAGTAATATTACTAAAAGGATTCTCTCTTCTATTATGAGCTTGTATACAGTAATAGCTATAGTCATGTTTCTGTGTCATCTCTAAATTTAACTCTCCCATCTTCTCAGACAAAATTTACAGGTAATATGCTTGCCTTTGTGAAAAACATCTCTATGTGATTAATATCTGAGAATGTTCCTTCAGAGTTTTTGTTTGGCTTTAGATTCCTTATTTGTACTTTCAGTAGAAGGTATATTTCAAATTTATAGAGGTATACTTTCAAATTTAAGGGTATTGGGCTTTTTTGGATGGAGACTTTGGCATGTTAGTGCACTCGTACATCAAATTGTTTTTGCTCTCTCTTAATTAGGCACTGTAGATTTCTTGATATAAAGTGCCATCTATTGAAAAGTATAAGTATTGTACATTCAATTGTTTGGTTTCTTTTCTACCTTCCATCCACATACAATCTTCTAAAGGCTGCCATCAGTCTGAAATACTGAATTATCCAAAAATATTAATTAAAACCACCTTCTAGACACCAACATCTCAAAGCGGCTTTTGAAATTTTGGTTAAAAAAAAAAAAAAACCCACAAAAAAACTTGTCAAACTTTTAGTCTTTGTTTTCAGTAGTTTCTTAAAAAAAAAGTGTTTGCAGAGGGTCAAAATGAGATTACTCCTTTTTTTCGCAAAGGTGTTTTTCACATGATGAATAATGTTTTGTACGTAAAAAACAATAAATCAAATTATTTATTCAGAGCCTTGATCTCGTATTCACTCCCACTTCAAGCTGACTACTTCAGATTTGACTTTGGCTGCAAATTATAAACTTTGAGGGAAGTAGATTAATTTCCCTAAATAAGTATTTTAAAGCAAAATAATTGTCTCTGCAGTACAAAATTTAATGTTGGATGCTTCTGAAAATGGGAATTATCATACAGACTTTATTTAAGGCACATGGTACTCCACTTGTTGGAGTCACTTGTATAATTTTAAGCCTTAACAGTCTGAGCTGTTAAGTGCTGGCTTTCATCAGGTTTCCATATGTGTTCATGGAGTGCAGAGCTGGAATTTGTACACTGACTTGTTTCTAAAGTTTTAAGTTAAGTGAATCCCTTGATAGGAAGTTACTTTAGGAGACAGTCTCTACATGAGGCACATGTTAGATGGAAGCGTGGTTTTCCAGCACGTAGTAGTGAATTCATGGCTCATCAATGAATAACACAATGCTTGCCAGCATCACTTAAAGCTCCCAGGACTTTGCATGGATGGCTATCAGTGTTCATTGAGATGACTAGCTAGTTGGTGGTTTTCTTGCACTGATCTGCTTTAAACTGGACCTTGTTTTACATTGTGGAGTCCAGTTGTAGTCTGCCTTTCCTGAATTTCTTCTTTTTGACAAGAGGAAAAGACAGAACAGACTGTTCTGCATGAGCTCCATCTAAGTATGTGTTCATTAATTATTAATCTCAGTATAGAAGGAAGGTCATTCAATCCAGTCTAGCTAATGTATGTGTGTATATACATGCGTACATATGTAGGCATTCAGTATTGTGCTGGTTTTGTATGTCAAACATGTATGAAGAATAATACAGATAAACTTGCTAAATTGTCCCACTAGATACCCTTTATATGGGATACAAATTTGATGAAATGCAGGGCTGCATGATAGAAAGCAGGCACTCTATCCACAAATCCATTTCATTTTGTAATGGATTTAAACACTTAAACTCTGTAGGCACTTCTTATCCATTGCTCTCTTAAAAAAAAAAATAAAAAATTCATGTGGATAGTATTTGGTTTTATACCAGTTGTATCATGTGATGTATTAAGTCTAAGATGCAGGAGGAATTTTGTTATTTAGGAAATGGGAGAATACTTACTGGGAGTGCACAGTGTTTTTTATCCAGGCTGTAGGTAACGTTAAGTGTGACATTTTCTGATGTGAAAAATCAATGTTGTGTCAATTTTTAATTATTTTACTGTATTTAACCAGAATTCCTAAGGAAGTGAGGCTGTTGGCTTATCACTACCTTCCTGCCTTTCTGGCAATTTTGTCATCACCTTTCTGCCACTGCCACAATTTTTATGTCCATTAGACAATTTCAGCTGAACTGAGGGAGCATACAGCCTCAAAAGATACTGGTTTCTTGCAAAATCTGTGTATGTGAACAGCTGGAGGCATACGAGTTACTGTCACAGCTTAGATTTCACAGACCTGTGTCCTAGTATTGTTTTGAGGTAAGAAGCTTATGAGACAGTGTACGGATGCAAATTTTTTTTTTTTAATTTTTAATTTTTTTGAAACTTGAGGAAATAATTCCCCTGTTCTTGTCCTTTTTCAGGAGAAGATTCCACATAAAGGATAATGGATGGAGTTTCCCCAGGTTTAATGCCAGAGTTAGTTTAAAACAAGAACATAATGTCAACTTGTCATTTCCTCTGAAAATACACGTTTGGTTTAATACATTTTCTATTTCTGTTCTGTTGTGACTAAGGAGAAGCAGAATACAAGCTTGAAAATACTGCTGTTACTTAAAATTGCTGTTGAGATAATGAATTTATTGCTGTTACATAGTGCTCAAAAGTGGTTTGCAGAAACTTTTAATTAGTTCTTATGTTCTGCTGCAACCATCCCCCTGTCCATAGGGCTATAGAATTACCTGTCTTAGTTCACACTATTGTTGTATTTGATTTACTAAATTTAATGAAATACTGAGCAACTTTGATGTAATTTTCCCCCCTCTCTTCCTCCCTGCCATTCTTCTTAGTAAATACTTGAGCAGTTGAGGCAGAATACAGCTTTGGATAGTTGCAACCTTTTACCTACAAGATGATCAGGCTGAATAACCTGAGTGAGTGTGTGTATGTGTAATCAAATAAAAAAAAACAATCCTGAGCTTCATGAAAGAAAAGTATACCTATGAAGAGAACTTAGAATTGTTGAAACAGTTTTATCTCGTGCTTTTTTTTTTAAGCTCCTTACACTAGTATGTTTATGGCTTGTGCAATTAAACATGAACACCAGAATTCTACAGAAACAATTCTATTCTCAGTCCTTATAATGTCAGCGAATCTTACAGAGTTGGTGTTTGAAAACACCTTGTGACTGTACTTCCAAAGACCTTGTTTTTTAAGCTTCTTGCCGCTAGGTGGAAGAAGAAGGTTATCAAAACTATGCCTTGGTGCTACCAGCCCAGTTATCCTTCACCAGATCCATTCCTTCTTACTATATCCTTGATTTTAGAAAAAGGTGTTTCAGTCAAGCTGATGATGGCTTATTTTGTGTTTTTTTTTGAGACATCTTTATTAAAAGAAACACTATGCCAAGCTGTGTATAGTTCTAAATTTTCTTTTCCTACAGGAGTATTTCTGTAATTTTGAGACAAAATTAGCGGAAGATAGATTCCATGAGGTGACAGTCTGTAATATAAAAGTGTTATGATATGCAAACTTTCAAAAAAGGCTGTGTTTAATTCTGAAGGATTTTTGGTTTTTTTCTTTTGTGTTTTTTTTTTTTTTTCTTTTTTCCCCCCTTAATTTAAATTTAGCCTGGTTTGTGAGAGATTGTGCACCCCTTCAGGAGTGAGGCTTAACTGATGTGAATACTTTGGAATGAAGATTAGAGAATAATGTGAAAAAGTGTGAAAACTGTAGCTTAAGAGGGACAGAAAATTGCTGTTCTTCAATACAAAAATGCAACTGAAAAGTTTTCTTTAAAGATAGCTTGAGTGGTATTGTGTCTTGCTGGCACAAGTGATTTGTGCCTTAAATGCACAATGGAGCAACTTAGGCTATCAGGTTTATCATGGTAGGTGATAAAAATCTAACATTTCATGAAGTGACTGCACAGTGGTGTTTTTTTTTTTTAATGCAAAAACTGTGAAAGGGAGTAAAATTTTGCTGGTATCTTTGTATACTTTTAAATATTTTAATATTTTTCTCCAATATGCCATATTAGATGTTAGAGCCAGTAAGATGTAATTTTATGCTGGATTATGTGTTTTGTTAGCTATGACTGGCGTAGCTACTGTATTATCTGTTCTAGTTAACTTGTTAGAAATGCAAGTCAGTTAATATTTGTATTGCCCAGCAATATGATACAATACTGG